CATGAGGTGGAAGCTATGTATTTTTGCATGTGTGTGTGTGAGAAGATCAGCTCTGAGCTAACATCCATGGCAATCCTCCTCTTTTAACTGAAGAAAACTGGACCTGGGCTAACATCTGTGCCCATCTTCCTCTACTTTATATGGGACGCTGCCACAGCGTGGCCTGACAAGCGGTGCCTCGGTGAGCGCCCGGGATCCGAACCTGGGTCGCCAGCAGCCGAGCGTGCGACTTAACTGCTACTCCATGGGGCCGGCCCCCGGAACCTATGTATGGAGGGAGACAGGGCAAGAGAACAGAAGGAGCCTGGATTTCTAATGATTTTGTGAACCCACCCACCTGACTCTGAGCTTCCTGTATGTGGGATTTCTGTATCTGTGAGAGAAATTAACTTTTATCTTTTACAAGCAACTGTTATCTTGGATTTTCTGACACTTGCAAAATCCTATCCTAACTGATACACTAGCAAAGCAGGGATTGCCTGGGGGCAGAGGGGACAGATGGTCACAGCGTCCTCTTCCTTGAGCTTTGAGGAGTGTATGGCCTTGCCAGTAAAGAGCGGGACCGAGACCTCCGACCTCAGCTCCTCAGACACTGGTTCTCTGGAGGGCTTAGGAGGGGCTTTGGAGGCTGCTCTGGAGGTTGGCGGACAAAGGGTTTGCTCAGCCAGGGCTCTGGAGGGCACCCAATAGGCTGCCTATCCTGTTTGTCCCTCACTCCTGCCCAGCCTGCTCCCCACCCTTCTCTGCTCTGTGCCAGGGAGGCTGAGCCCTCTGGCTTCCTGCTGGGTTCGGCAGGTGGGAGCAGCCAGCAGGGCTCTGAGGGTGGGAGGAGAGACTCAGCCCCATGTCTCTGGCGTGGCTGTATCTCTCCAAGACTCAGCTCCCACAGGGCAGCCCCTCCTCCGGGGCTGCAGCCTGCGCTGGGCTCATATGGTACTTTTCTCTCGGACCTCCAGACCTGGGGTGGTAATGGCACCCCATGTTGTAGTCTCTGTTGCCTCAAAATCCCTAGTTCCTTCCTTTGAGTCTCTTTATTTGTACCAACTGGAGGTGAATCTGGTTTCCTGCTAGGACCCTGCCTGATCCAGCACATTCTGCTCAGGCCACAGAGAAACCCCTGGGCAGAGGCAGGCCCAAGGGACAAGAGAGAGATGGCCAGAGGGGCAGAAACAGACAGGACAAAATAGGGGCAGAAGGGCAGAAACAGAGAGAGATTAAAAAGGCAATGACAGGGCCGGCCCCGTGGCTTAGCGGTTAAGTGCGTGCGCTTCGCTGCCGGCGGCCCGGGTTCGGATACCGGGCGCGCACCGAGGCACCACTCCTCCAGCCATGCTGAGGCCGCGTCCCACATACAGCAACTAGAAGGATGTGCAGCTATGACAGACAACTATGTACTGGGGCTTTGGGGGAAAAATAAAT